GTTACATATATATATATATATATATACATTCTCGCTCTTGGGAAGTCATATGGAGGTAAAAGCTCCAAAATTTTGTAACGAACGACATGATTATGGCAGTGTGGTCAGCACTTAGCATTGCAATTTGGCCTCCTTTATCTTTAAAAAATATTGGTAGTTACGCTATGTATATTAAACTTATTTTGTCATTTCAGCTATATTTTATTACATTTTTTGCCCACTCTTCACAAGTGACTTTCACGGATTATTTAATTCATGCAGGAAATTCTTTTAATAGTGGTCTAGCCAGATTATAACTACAGTTGTTCAAGTTATAGGTCCATTACTATTCTGAGATAAAGCTCCAATCGATGTTATTGAGACCTTGCTCTCTAAATATTGTGCTAAATATTTTCAAGCCAAACGTTAGAAGAATTTTGTATCAAAACTATTAAATGCTACCTAAATGAAAGTTTTCGACTTAGAAAGTAATTGTAGTAACCACAATCCATTATTTCTATTGCCCTTATTTTCTTTTTGCAAGTAGAATTCACAACAGCGTTTTTAGCTTTTGTCAATAATTTTACGCTTGATGCATTTTTACATGGTGTCCTATTACATTTATATGAAAAACTAAATGACATATAATCACTTTTATTTCATGGATACGAGCACTAAGTAAATTAAAAAAGAAACGAGGCTACAAACCTATGTAATAAACTATTTATAGTAACAGTAAACTTTATTGATACAAAAACAGTTCAAACTACAAAATCAGTGCAGATATGAAACCCAGGCATGCGTACAAAATGTAACCTAAAGATATCAATGCAGTAACCTGAATAAAGCGTGTCATGTAAGTTTGCCTGAAAGAGTGAAACATCCATTAAGTATAAATTCCTTTATTTAACATATTCAATTCCTGAAAATGTACTTTTAGTAGTAATTGCTTATACAAATACTGTTAATTATATAAAAATGAAATAAATTAAATCCTCTAGTCTATATGGATAAGGCAGAATGTTTACATCGTTACGCTTTTCCATGTGGACAGAGAATCGTTGGTCAGGGATTTGTTTTCCAGAAAGATAACGATGCAAAATCGAAAATGTGTAGAAACTACTAATCATCAAAAGAAAAGGAAAAAGTACTGAAATACACGGATTGGCACCCTCATTCTCCCGATATTAATCCTATTGTATTATTGTGGCATGAACTCGATAGAAATGTTAGAAAAATGCGATTTATCAATCGAAACAAGCTTTCGGAATCTTGTGCTGGAACAAGATTTCAACTAGAACATTTTAAAAACTAATAGAAAGAATATCAAAAATATACTCTGCTGTGATTAAGGCTAAAAGAGGATATTTTGAAGAATCAAAGATTGGAAGAAATTCATAAGTTAGACATAAAATTATAGTTCTTGCCGCATAAGCTCTCCTATATTTGTCAAAATAAAGTTCATTTGCTGTGGTTTACAATTTAAAAATCTTGTTATTAGTTCATTTTTCAAAATTCAGGAGTGAGTCTAAACTTTTGACTGGTACTTTGTGTACATACATACATACATATATATATATATATAGCACAATATTTTAAAAATAAAATTAAATCGAGAAACTAGGCGGCTAATACAATATCGCATACTCAACACTGGAAAAAAATTACTGGTACTTGCCTTATTTCTTTGCATAGTTACAGACATTGTCAAAGCAATTAATTCTTTCTACAAGCTTTTGTGCTCCTGTCATACAACTTTGCCGCCTGTTGTCGGAACTATTTCCATCTGCATATTTTTGAAGTCAAGTAATCATAATNATATATATACATATATACATATGTTATATATACATATATATTATATATACACATACATATTATACATATACATATTATATATTATATATACACAGAGAGAGAGAGAGAGATTAAGCATAGGAATTTATGGAAGAAAATAATTTCTTTTCAGAAATTAGAAATTTAATTATGATGAGGATTGGAAGAAATAAAACTCATACCTTATAACTTTTACCTGTCTTTCTTCTGGTGTCAGAGTATCTGTAACTTTCCAATCATAATATGGGCATCCATTTGGAATTTCTTCGTGCAGTTTGATTATATCTATATCATCTCGTCTCAAAGAAAACATCTAGTAAACGAATAAACGCTTTGAATATACATGAAATATACATTAAAAATAATTATACATCAGGGGTCAGTGGTAAATAAATTTTGTAATGAATTAAGAAAACTCGTTATAATGAATTAAAGGGAATGGCGAGATGAAAATTAATATAGCAATTTGACTGTATTTTGAGTTTTGTAGGTGTTTCTAAAATCACTTTTGAAACCCTTTCTGTTTTCGTTCATCAAGCAGGATCTGATGCGTCTTAGCCAACATTCTCGATTAGTGACTAAATAGACCATTTGGTATTTTCCTCATAGTTTACGACACCTAACAAGCATACTTTTTCATTTATTTTACTTACAATTGTTTTCAAATCAAATAATAACACAGTCATTAGGGAACATAATGTTTAAATAAATCTATATGGAGTCAGAATCACTCTTATTATTTTAATATAGTTTTTATTGTTTCTATTAACAACACTTTCAGAAATAAAACTTTTACTTTTGACGATTTCAGCAATCCTTGAGAGTTTTTGAGAAGCATTTCGTCACGAAATCATTAATTTCTAACAATATTAGAATCTATTAGAAATGTTGCTTTTCACCTTATGAATTGGAGCGAAATTTAGAATATAGTTCTAATGATAATTGGACTAAAATGACATTTTAAACAGAATATCTTCAAGGTGAAAGATATTAAAAATAAATTGCTTACAAAACCTTTAATAAGGCGACTTTATCTAATTATTATCAGCCTGTTGTTTCTAATCCCAGCTGGGATAGCGGAGCTTTACCAGATCCATGAGGCCGAGAGTCTTCAAAAAATCGAGAAAAAGGAGAGGTCTCTCAAGAACCTCTTCCATGGTGAAATCCAAGCAATCAAGTAGATGGTGAGGACTAGCCTCGCTGGAGTTGCACTTTTTACAAGAAGGAAAACGTTTAATTTGTCCACTGAAAGTGAGGCTCTTAGTATGCCCATTGACAAATCTATAGGTAGCGGTTTGGTCGGCAAGTGTACCCTGAAAGTCAAGGGCTCCTCCAGGACGCTTGCGGGGATACCAATTGTGATCCGGTGGAACTAGCCAAGCTTTATTAACTTTAGATTTGTGGATAGAAAATAATTTAGAGTAAGTGAGGGCCGTGTTTGGAGAGGCTGGGTGGGAAGTACCTTCTTTTGCCAACCGATCAGCACGTTCGTTGCCAAAAAGACCTATGTGTGAGGGTATCCACTGAATATGGATGTCATGGGAGGCTGAGAGGGCATTTAATAAACGAAGTATAGAGACTCCCAGCCCGGATCGTTACTCTCTCCCAATTTCTCAGGTGCTGAATACAGCTACGACAGTCCGTGAAGATCCAGATATTCCCAAAAGTGGCTCTAGTCCTGATATTTTGCAGACCTGTTTGAATAGCAATAAGTTCACTGCAAAACACTGAACAGAAATCTGGGTTTCTTAGTGATCTTGATTCTTGAACTTCAGCAGGATATATAGTGTAAATTCCACTGCCGGTGTGGTGATAATCGTCACCGCTACCATCCGTATAGATATTATCAGCCTAATTGTGACATATGGAAGTGAAACCAGGACAATGACCAAAAAAAAGATGGTTATAACCTGCTATTATTTGAATGAAAGGAGAATAATCGAACCTATTGTTGTGTCACAACAACCAGAAATA